AAAGATGAAAACCTTCACTAAACTCACGAAAAATGAAAGATTTAACATGAATTTGTAAGTAAAACAAATATTACAATATACTCAAGACAATGCCAATTTGCAATGGACATCTTTAGAATTTTTTCATGTTTTTAAGACATAGTGATGTCTTTAGAACGTCCCTTGGAAGTCTACTTGTCTAGAATTACTTTAGGATAAATTATTAAAAGATAAAATATTCTATTCATATTAAAATTATAAATCTGCAGAAAATATATATTTTATATAAAATAATACATAAAATACATGCAATAAATACATAAAATAAACTTACATTTTATTTACTGCATACAATTTATAATATATTACACTTTAACTTTCTGATGCATACGTATCTTAACTTTGCAAACTTCGTCGGTATGCTTTCACTGCCTATACGTCATCACGCTTCAATTAGCTTTCGTTGGTCATTTTTAATGGACGTAGGATTCTTATGTCAAATGCCAATTGTCATATAACCATAAAAATTAAAGTCACTATAAGAAATTTTACTTACTTTGTACATAATATACGAGTGTAGTATTACATTATTTTTCACATTTAAACCACATCGCTTGATGCTTAAAAATATTCGTGGAAACTTACATAATTTACATGTAAAGAAGAACATATACGAGCAAATTAAAAGTTCACGTGAAATATTTCACGTTTTGAGAATTCACCTTTCACGGTTAACGTCTCATTTATTAAATTTACTCATATTGTATTATTATACTCATATTATATTATAACTATAAATTTAAGTTGTATAATGCTTATTAATATGTTATATATTACATTATGTATACTGTAATTACATTTTAATTTTAATAATCTATATTACATAAATATTGCTTTCACCATTTTCATTGTTCACTTTTCATGTAAAATAAATTTCACTTACAGTGAAAAGTGAAAAATGAAAATGATGTTTACGTGAAAGATTCATGATCGCTACCCTGGGCCCTTATTCTTGAAATAGTTGCGTATATGTAAGTTTTACTGCGCAGCTTTTCTACGGTATACAAAAGATGCTCAACGATAACGAAACTGTCGTTAACTCCAATAACGAGTTATAGAATCCCAGTGTTGGGCCCCTATTTTTGAAATTTTTGCGTATATACGTAATTTTCATTGCGCAGCTTTTATAGTATGATTAAACCTGCGCAGTAAAACTGAGGGTGTTATTATATGAAGCGCAGAAACGCGGAAGACAAAATCTTACTTGATTTCCGCGTTCCGTGAATTGAATCATTTCTTCCCGTACGTTGAAAAAGCAGAAAAGCGGAAGGTCCAAAACTTTTCTCTATTATCTTTTCATCCAAGATACCAAGGTATGAATTCCAAAAAAAATATCAGGTACGAACGTGTTTGAACACGTCTTATGGCTCCTGCACACAGAACGCGGTAATGCTTGCCGCACGCAGAAGTTCGCACGACAGCCAATCAATATGCTGCTTTCCGTAATAACCTTCTAGCTCTTACGGAAAAGCAACATATTGATTTGCTGTCGCACAAACTTCCGCCGCGCGGCAAGTATTGCCGCGTCCTGTGGGCAGGAGCCATTAATATAACGGCAGTTAGGTTGAACAACTTATGATAACTTGTGACAACTTGTGACAATGGATTTTTCCGCACTTGTTCCGTGACTTTATTTCTCCTTATATTACATGGAGCACAATTTGCGCAGAAAAGCGGAATTGTTTGGTGACAAATAAACATCTGTATTCATTTTTTTAAATTGTATAAACTTAATTTACTGCAATTTTTACTAATATGTTTATTTTTTAGTTTGTCTATTGAATACAAGCATTTTAATTAATAAATACCGTTAAAAATTAATATTTTATAATTCCCCATACCGCTCAAAATATACCTCATATAATATAAGGGTGCTATTTCACGTGTCGTACGACAAGTTTTTCGGATACGTTTATTGGTTGGCGAATAGAGTATTTTTAGGTTCTCTGTTCGTCAACCAATAAACGTATCCAAAAAGTTTGTTGTACGACACGTGAAATAGCAGCCTAAAGCCCAGTCTACAATTGCGTAAGCGTAGTCGTGAACGTAAGAGTCAACCAATCCGAATGTTTTATTCACTGATTGCTTTACTCTGATTGGTTGTCGTAATCACTTATAACCACTTACATCCACGTTCACGCAATTGTAGAATGGGCTTAAGGCAATCAAAACAGACGCGGAACACGTAGCGGATCTAGTAAGATTTTGTCTTCCGCGTTTCCGCGCTTCATGTAATGGCACCCTTACGTATACGCAACTATTTCAAGAATAGGGGCTCAGGCGTTCCAAAATTCTACTCGGTGAATAGAGTACATTTAATTGACCAATCATGATAAAGAAATCCTAGTTATCTTTTTTATGTTACTCTATGTTACTCTACCTGGGTCCCTATTCTTGAAATTTTTGCGTATACGTAATTTTCATTGCACAGCTATTTTATGGCATGATTAAACCTGTGTTGGGATTCTGTAACTCGTTATTGGAGTTAACGACAGTTTCGTTATCGTTGCGCAGCTTTTGTATACCGTAGAAAAGCTGCGCAACGATAACGAAACTGTCGTTAACTGTCAATAACGAGTTACAGAATCCCAGCACTGCGCAGTAAAACTGGGAGCGGTGCACTTGGACACGGTGCATTTGAACACAGCCAATCACAGCACCGTATGATTAGAGACATTTGTAGGGTCCCTTGGAACAACGACTTGTGATTGGACTGTGTCCAATTGCCCCGTGTCCAACTGATATACACCCAGTAAAATTTACGTATACGCAACTTTTCAAGAATAGGGGCCCTGTCGAGTAGAGTTTTGGAACGCAGCCAGGAGCGTATCGCACACGAGAGCATCCAGGGCGCCGAGCACTCCATTGACGGCGCTATGCAACACTATGCCCGCGAAGTAATCTCCGTACGAGGATTCGAAAGCTTATATCAGAGTGCGAGAACTCGAAGGACCGCGAGGCTTCGGCGCATTCGAGTCTCCGAAAGCCGGTACGTGCTTATGACAAACGACAAGTGACGGAACATTTGCGACGAGGCTTTTTACGTGCGTGTCACATGCGAGAGACGTGTAGTAAGCGTTGCACACACGTCGAGCAGACGGTCCTCGGCATGACCGAAAATATGGCGAGCCTCGATGACTAGCCGTATATACTACGTACGATACAGCGTGTACATTGCCCTCGCGTTGCCGATTCTCGCTGACGAACTGTTGGGATTTACATGACACCGCCGACGCGACTGACGTAATTCACCGATTGATCAATCCGACGGACAATCGTTCTAGAATATTCGATTTAACCTGCAACAAAGAAACAAAATCTGAGAAGCTGAGAGCAACCAGCGACGAAACAAGGTCTGAATCAAGATGTCAAGCTAAGAGATCGTCACATCGGAACTGTCGCTCGCGGAAACGAAGATTGCGCATTCGGTTTTGTGACATTCCAGTGATCGTTACGACAGTTGACATTAATGCGTGCAGTGGTAAGTGCTGAGTAGATGGGACATCGTTATTTGTGACATACGAGTTGCTGTGATGTTTATAACGAGTATACGATACGTTTCAGAGGTAGAATCAAGGACATCGAATTGTTGATCATGATTCAATATGTATAGCTTCGAGGGAGATTACAGGCGTAAGCCACAGCAAAATTTGTCAGGAGCTAGCAGGAGAGATGAGAAGGCCGTGCTCTTACAGCATGCGCAGTTGGAGAGATTGAAGAGAGAGCAGCAACGTAAGAAGCATGTGGCTGCGTTGAAGATTCAAGCCTATGTGCGCAGCTTCATTACCAGAAAGCTGATGTGTGCACAGAAGAGGAGGGAATTTGATGAGGCTCAACAGGTGGCGGGGCGTAGGAATTTATCTTTAGAGGAATTAGTGCCGTACTTGAGGAAGCTCCTATTCTTTTATAATCATACTCTAGATGCTAGCAGACTGATATGGATTCTTCAGCATTTCCTGAAACATCAGAAGGAGATTAAGTTGAAGTCAATAAATTCATCGCAATGGTTGTGGAGGTTGCGGTAAGCTATTTTGATGCAAGATTTAATGTATATTTCTGATAATAACATATATACTCGTGATGTGCTAAAAAGAAAGATAATTTTAGAATTTTATATATGTATATTTATGATAAAGAAGAATACATTTGAAGATAAATAAGAAATGAACCAAGTAAAGCCTAAACAGTTTTCTGTTTATGCAAGGAGAATTGTATTTAAGCTTTAATTGGACTATTGTTACTTATATATAGTTCTGATTAAACATCAGGTTATATATATAATTAAGTAATACAATACTATGTATATATATATATATATATATATATATATATATATATATATATATATATATATGTGAAGCAAAAATAAATTGACTATTGTCACACTAGCTATATTTTAACATGGTATATCTTAATCATGGTATATCGTAATCTGTGTGACGCAGGTGGATTCTTCGCATCTCTATGCAGTACAATATACAGGCGTTGCCAGACGGGGCATACTCCATGGCGATACCGTTGCGCGTCCTGGAAGTATTCACGACGCGGGAGGACACGGAAAGGATACTACGTGAAAACAGTTACCGACATCTAGAGAGTATATTCGTCTATTTGATAAAGCACAACTACTTCGGACAATTGAGAAAACTGTTGGATGAAAAAGTGCCGCCTATGCTGGAGGCGACGTCGGTCGCGCCGACGCCGATCTCTAAGTGCCTGTTGGACATGATTAAACGACCTTTGGACTTGTTCTCTTACCTCGATCGCAACGAAAGTTTCTCCGCGTTGGTGCTACAAGAGTTGTGTAGAAGCATATTCTGTCCCAACCTGACTGATCCCATTCGTATGTTCGTTATACCGGCACTGGCGGAATACAAAGACTTCCCGTACATTCAGCTGTTCAACTGCATCAACCGATCCGACCTGGTGCCCACAATAAATCTGCTCTATTGCGTTTTATCATTAGAAACCGAACAGATGTGTAAGTAAATGGAAAAAAAGAATACCGCCGAAGCCTTGGTAGCTAGATTGGCACGGCATCCTGTCCGACAAGTAGGGGGAGGTCCAAGTTCGAGTCTTGATTGAGGCAGTATTTTTCGCGACATTAAAATTTGATAATATCACAGAGAGGATCATAAATAAAATGCATAATTCAATAGTTGGGGATAATATAATAGTTAACTCGTTAATGTTTAACTTTCTTAATTTTTGGGCACAACTGAATGACATCACATTTAATGATAGAAATTATTTCGTCCTGATGATAAAAAATCCGTTACTGTAAAACAAAAATTGTAACTTCCTGCTTGACGAACTAAACAAAATTAAGAGTTCAAAAAATTCGCTTTAATAATATTCATTTGCAATTATAATAATCATTTACAGTTACAAAAATATATATGAAACTTGTGGCGAACTTGTTATGTAAGTGTGGCGAATTGTAAAGTTGAACAAGGATTTTCCGGGTCATTGATCTCGTCACGAAATTAATATAGAATCACGTATTATAATTATTAAATTCATATTATTTGTTCACAGCATTTGTACACTGCATCTCCAAGGACACATTGAGGAATTACCTGCAAGTGCTCGCATCACTCACGTCGACCATCATACCGTTAGTTGCGGAGCAGAACGTTAAGCAGTCCGATGACTCGGACAACGACGAGCCCAATACCAACATGAGCGATCAGCAACAGACCAACGTAACGCGATCGCTCGAGATGTTGAATGAAGAGCAGCGCGTAAACGGTATATTTCTGGCGATGCTTCGTTTCTGGAACTCGGCAACGTTGCTGCAGCCACTGTGCGAGCTTTGTCATCACTTGTTGATTATCGACAAGCTGGCCATTCACAAGTATAAGCTATTGTACACTCTCGCCTTCAAGCCGGTATTCCTGAAACACTTGTGGACGACTTTGCTGTCGGTCTGCCAGATATCGCTCTTCGGCGGCGCTACACCGCTCATGCAGATCATATCGCGCGGCATTGCTCTTTCCGCGGAGGATACCGACAGGATAGTCCCGTTGCTGGCGGTGTTCTGCTCGCTATTTAGTGTGCTGATCGCGACGTTACACGACACCGAGTTCTTCGTCGAGCATTCCTCTACGGAACAGACGTCGGACAGTAGTCGGCAACAACAGCAACAACAGCAACAACAAGCCATGTCTTTCACCACGTCGGAGCTGGTCGTATTATCAAGTCACTTAAAGAGCGTCTGTCTGGGTTTGGTAGAATTGGCATTTCCAGACACTCGACCAACAGTGCGGGACGACTACAAGAACGCCGTATTGGGTCCGGCATCGGCCGTCCAGGGTCGACATGACACGCAGATCTGGACTCATCTGTTCAAGGTGACGGTGGGTCTGCTGCGGCAATTACACACACGTGATCTCCGACGTCAATTCTGTCCAGACGGCCATTGGATAGCGCCCAATGTGATAATCCCTATCGACAAGCCGGAAGATTTTGCGTTCCGCAGACGTAGACTCCGAGGATACGTTCCTTTCCAAAGCTTGCGGGCTTTTACGAGGGAGGAGCTGGAAGAGGGACCGCCGTTGTCCGCCAAAGAGGTTCGAACGTTGACGCTGCTACGTGAGATACCCTTCGTCGTGCCATTCAACAATCGAGTAGTGGTGTTCCAGTCGTTGATCTACAAAGACAAGGCGGAACAACAAGGCGAGGTGCCGCACTTTATGCTGCCGGCGATTCAGATCTCCGTCAGGCGGAATTATCTGTACGAAGATGCGTTCGAGAAACTTTCGCCAGAAAATGAGCCGGAGTTGCGGATGAAGATGCGGGTACAGCTCGTCAACACCGCCGGACTGGAGGAGGCTGGTGTCGACGGCGGCGGTCTCTTTCGTGAGTTCCTGTCCGAGCTACTGAAAACCTGTTTCGATCCGAATCGGGGTTTCTTCAAGCTCACCAAGGACAACATGCTCTACCCGAATCCCACGGTACAGCTATTGTTCGACGACTTCCCGAAACATTACTACTTCATCGGTAGGATCCTTGGTAAGGCGTTGTATGAAAATTTATTGGTGGAGTTGCCGTTTGCCGAATTCTTCCTGTCGAAAATCGTCGGTCGACAATCGGACGTGGATGTGCATCACTTGGCCTCCTTAGACCCCATCATGTATCGCAATCTGCTGTACTTGAAGACCTACAAGGGTGATGTGGCCGATCTCGGTCTGGATTTTACTGTTTTGTCCGACGAACTGGGTGAAAGGCGAGTGGACGAGTTGAAGCCCAGCGGTGCCAATATCCCCGTGACCAATCACAACCGTATCGAGTATATCCATCTGATAGCTGACTACAAACTCAACAAGCAAATCCGCGCCCAGTGCTACGCATTCAAGCAAGGTATAGGCAGCGTAGTACCGCTCGATTGGCTGCAGATGTTTAACAACAAGGAACTGCAAGTGCTGATATCGGGCGCACAGATTCCCGTGGACGTTAACGATCTCAAGCTGCACACCAACTATACGGGGGGATACGCGCCCGATCATCCGACTATCACTGCCTTCTGGAAAGTTGTTAACGAGTTCAGCGATCAACAAAAAAGCCAACTGTTGAAGTTCGTCACTAGTTGTAGTCGTCCTCCTCTCCTAGGATTTAAGGTATAACATTATACACATTTATATGTATATATAATATATATATATATATATATATATATATATATATATATATATAATATTAAAAAAAAATATATATTTTTTTTAATATGTTATTTTTTTATATTATATTTAAGTTAATTTAATAGTTTTTTCAAAGAATACGTGTCCCATTTTTCCCATAGAATAATGTATCGGCTTATTTCTATTTAAAAAAAAGAATTGCTGTGTTTATATCATTCCAAGTTAAAATTTAATATATGATTATCATTTTACAATAGTAGACATCACATCAGTGATATATTTATCATATTGTTGGATCCTTACAAATTCTCACAGATCTCCGATGTATCTCACTGTTGTTCGTTAATTCTTCTCACTCTCTTGTTTTCTTTTGTTCATTTCAGGAACTCGACCCGCCATTCTGCATCCAGCACGCCGGTAGTGTGGACCGTTTGCCAACCTCGAGTACCTGTATGAATTTACTGAAGCTTCCCGAGTTTCCAGACGAAAAGACTTTGCGCGAGAAACTTTTGTATGCGATACAGGCAGGTGCAGGTTTCGAGCTCAGTTAGAGCTCTCATGTTACTTCATCGTCATCTCTGTCGGCGATTCCGTTTGTTCGACCTGATTGTAAATACGATCTTCAAATTTCGAGTACGTCGTCATTAAAAGAGGTGAATACCCGTAGATGCTGTCTCTCTATCTATTTTGCAAAAAGACTCAGAGTATTCGAAGAGACCCTCATGGAAGCGCGCTGAAAATGTTAATGTTAACAGGAGGGGCCAACTACTAAGTTATATCTACCGATATACCATTCGCAATTGTGCTATTTGTAAAGAGAAAAAGAAAAAACAAAGAGCGCAGCATCTATTATGGTGCGCGTGTTTATGTATGTATGCGTGTGTGTGCGGACATTTTTTTTCGTTCCGACTTTTCCACCTTTGGCCTACAACTGTAAATTCTGTATATTTCGATGTTTTATATATTTCACCATCAGTGTCTAAGATTTATTATATCCACTTTGCGAGATACGTATGCGAGAATAGATATATGTATGTATGTATTTATGAGATATCGTTAAGCCAATGTAAATAAAGTATCTTGAAGCGTTGAACTCGCGGGGTATTAGAAAGTCTTCGACTTTTTTAATTGCGATGATTGAAAGTAGAACAACTGATTTCGATTTATCGATAAAAGCGGCGTTCTCAGAACTAGAATTCGTGATCAAGATACTAGGGTGCAGTCCATTAGACGGTGCAGATACTTTGAAGCGTCGTAAAGACCAATCGTGGCTTCTTTTTAAGTGCTTCAAAGTGTTTGCGACATCTAATGGATCGCTCTGTAGGTGCGTTCAGATTCTCCACCCGGGTGCACTATATAAAATTGGTGTCGACCCCGGGGCTTATTTGTATTATTTGCACCGGATGAGGAGGGGCAACGGTGGAGACGGGCATACATGGACAGCAGGTCTTAAAGGATAGCAACCTTTGACTTTGAGAGACTGACAGCTGTACCATTTGGTTTCTCTCTGTAGTCGCCGTGCGCTCGGGATCGCGCCAGAGATGTCGCTTCCGAACGACATCTCTGAGCGTTATCTAGGAAGAGGAGAGTGTCGTGAGCGTGGAGCGTCAGTGGTTTAGAGCAGTCGTCCGGCAAGCGAAAGACTCGGGCTCGAGTCCCGGCCTAGCAGGACCGCGCTCTCGATATTTTTCTCTTTCTGGAACGAAAAAGATACGCAGATCTCGAACGCACGGGCGGCCCACAGCTACCTAGTATGCCCTCCTCCTCTATTACAGTTGTAGGCCAAAGGTGGAAAAGTCGGAACGAAAAAAAATGTCCGCACACACACGCATACATACATACACGCGCGCACCATAATAGATGCTGCGCTCTTTGCTTGCGAATGGTATATCGGTAGATATAACTTAGTAGTTGGCCCCTCCTGTTAACATTAACATTTTCAGCGCGCTTCCATGAGGGTCTCTTCGAATACTCTGAGTCTTTTTGCAAAATAGATAGACAGCATCTACGGGTATTCGCCTCTTTTAATGACGACGTGCACCCAGGTGCACTATATAACACTAGAAATACTATAGTATATGTCACATGTTTTATAGTACTTTCCCACACGGGTGGAGAATCGGAGCGCGCCACTGGCGCAGTGTAGCAGTGCTGCGAGTTCGGGAGATTTTATCCCTGCGACAAGAGGCCTTCCGCGCATGCGCGAACGATACGATATCCAATAGCAGACTGCTACGTCACTGTACGCATGCGTCTCCCGTCGCGGAGAAAAACTCCCGAACTCGCAGCACCGCAGCGCAGTAGAGGGAGCTCGCGCACGACGGCGCATTGATGTAAACTGCTCCGAATGTCAAAAGGAGAGCGAGTCGGTCGTGGCGTCGATTGTTTGGAGGACAAGTCCACGCGCGTTTCACACAACAGCTCTCGACGGAAGCTTTTCGAAAGTGCGTGACGGTGGGATCGGTGCTCCTCGGTGGAATCGGGCACCTGGACACTCGCGATCGGCGACGGGCACGCGGACGATGAAGAGGAAGTGAGATGCGCGTGAGAAGAGCGGCGGAGAGTGACTCGCGACGATACGTAAGCCGCATCTCTTGACGTTTCTCTTCGCTCTCGCGTCTCCTGATCACACGAAAGGGCGAAGCGCGCTACGTTCTGATCGTCGCGATGCCGATTCTGTCGTGCAACGCGATCATCCTCGGCCGTTCGCGGCGCCGAGGTAGCGGCACGCGGTGATACGGCGATCGGCCGATCGCGAGTACGAGCTGTCGTCCTCCGCGTGATCATCCGCGACGCTTGCTTCTCGCCAGTGAGAGGAGGTTTCGTCTCTTGGTGGGCCACGGCATCTACGCGCATCAATGTCCTTGCCGGATTGTTCCTGAAAGCCCCACAGGTAACGGACAATGTTATCTAATGATATTTGTCACGGCGATGTAATGACACTTAACGTCAAAATCGGAAAAATCAATTGACTTCAATAAAATCAAAAGAACTTAGACTTCGGTTGAATTAATGAATTAGTGAAATTAAAGTTAAATTGCGTTATATAAATTCAAATTTAAATTTATCAATTAAATTCTATAGAATATTGAAGACTGAATTGGATTACGTTACATAAAAAATCTGAAATTTCAATATATATCCTTAAAATTTTCACCAAGTTTCTGAATCTTATAGACATGGCACAGTAGTTTTGATATGTTGAAGACAAATTGTTTAACATATATATTGTTGGTTTATGTAGCTATATACACATGAAATGGGTAGCGCTTGGTGGCAGTGTGCTGCGTGTCTGAGAACCCAGGAAGAAGACATTTGTGAGCTGCAGCTGAATCACTGTAATCTGTATGATGTACCACCCGATGTGTTCATTTACGAAAGAACGTTGGAAAAATTATATCTCGATGCCAATAGAGTGAGTATATATTAGTTGTGCTCAATTAGTACACGAGAGAAAAATGAACGAAACTTAATGCTTCTTCTAGATAAAAGATCTTCCCAGGCCACTATTTCAGTGCCACGAGTTGAGAGTACTTTCACTCAGCGACAATGAAGTTAGTACATTACCACCCGCCATAGCATCGTTAATCAATCTTGAATACTTGGACCTCAGCAAAAACAGTCAGTGTACTTTAATATCCTGTATGGATTATAACATTTCGCATTCTCTAGACTCCATTATATACATATCCATATACTTTTGTTTCAGGTATAAAAGAATTACCAGATAGTATAAAGGAATGTAAAAGCCTCCGCTCCATAGATATCAGCGTTAATCCGTTCGATCGTTTCCCAGACGCCATCACACACATTGTCGGTCTGCGTGAGCTCTACATAAATGACGCATACATAGAATACCTGCCGGCTAACTTCGGACGACTGTCAGCCTTAAAGACGCTCGAGCTACGGGAGAATAATATGATGACATTGCCTAAGAGTATGAGCCGTTTGGTGAACTTACAGAGGCTCGACATCGGCAACAATGACTTCACAGAGCTGGTAAGACTTCTCTTCACGTCGTACAGGCATGCGACGGACGTTCATTACGGTTTCGTTCGAGTTCATATTCTCAAGTTAATTCAAAGATTACAATATCGTCGTGTATCTCTTCAAAATACGAATTCATTGAGACTCCCTGATTTTCCCAGAATATCCTGCATGCGTATTTGACGTGAGACTGCGTCCGTGAGACGTGTGTCTCTCAATCCACGCGCGCTACGCGCGAGTGTCTGATTCGCGCTTCTGTATTACTACTGTCCGACAGCCTGAAGTCGTTGGAGATCTCATCAATCTCACCGAGCTGTGGATAGACGGCAATGATATCAGACGTATCCCGGGTAACGTCGAGCAGCTGTACCGCTTGAATCACTTCGACTGCACGATGAACGCTATTCACATGCTGCCGATGGAGATACGCGGCTGGCGGGACATCTCGATCATGAATCTATCCTCGAACGAGATGTACGAGCTGCCAGACACGCTATGCTACCTGCGCACGATCGTGACACTCAAGATCGACGACAATCAATTGAACGCACTGCCGAACGACATCGGCCAGATGTCGAGCTTAGAGGAGCTTATAGTCACTAAGAATTTCCTCGAGTACTTGCCGTCTTCGATAGGACTGCTGCGCAAGCTGCACTGTCTGAACGCGGACAATAATTATCTGCGCGCGCTGCCGGCCGAGATCGGCAGCTGCACCGCGCTCTCTCTGCTGTCCCTGCGATCGAACAATCTGTCGCGCGTGCCGCCCGAGCTCGGCCATCTGTCATCCCTGCGCGTGTTCAATCTCGTCAACAACTGCATCAAATTCTTGCCGGTCTCCATGCTGAATCTGAGCAACCTGAAGGCCCTCTGGCTCAGCGACAATCAGAGCCAACCGTTGGTGCCGCTGCAGCAAGAGTTCAACTGCGAGGAGGACATGATGGTGTTGAGCTGCTTCATGCTGCCTCAGAAGCCGCGGCAGGACTTGGAGAGTAAGCATCTCATCTGTCATTCCCTTTTACTTTCATTTCTTTCTTAAATTTCATATTTTCATATTTGAATCGTCTCGTACAATGTGTCCTATCGATCTTGAAACAATGAAACTCAATATTTCTTCATGCTGCTTAGTGAATAACGAGCAGGAGGACGAGGAATGAAATGGTGAGAGATACTAAATGTCAAATAGGAGAAAATATCGAAATAGAAACGCGAGGAGAATCGATTACATTCCAATTTTAACTTTACGCATTGCAGAAAATAGTAGATCGAAAAATTCGCTTGGACTTTATTCTATTTCTATATTCCTATTTTTTTTTTATATTTTACTAATTATAATGTACAATTCGTGTCCTCGAACGAGGACCTTGTACTTTATTCTATTTCTATATTCCTATTTTTTTTTTATATTTTACTAATTATAATGTACAATTCGTGTCCTCGAACGAGGACCTTGTACTTTATTCTATTTCTATATTCCTATTTTTTTTTTATATTTTACTAATTATAATGTACAATTCGTGTCCTCGAACGAGGACCTTGTACTTTATTCTATTTCTATATTCCTATTTTTTTTTTATATTTTACTAATTATAATGTACAATTCGTGTATAGAAAAAAGATTGAATGAATTCTTACGTGATATAATGGAGTATTAAGAACGTTCTAAAATAAGAATTGTCCGTCCACACAGAAATGGCGCAATCCACAGGACCGATTTCGAGTTCAATCATTGGAACAGGCAAGAGGATATGTTTTGCTGCTGAGGTAGATTCCGAAGTCCCCAGGCAACTTCATCGAGCACCGACCCCTTATCCTAAGGAGCTACGCAACCTCGCTAGGCACGCTCGTAATTTGCATCATCAATCCATTCACGATCAAAGAGTAAGTAGCTCTTCATTCGTTAAGCAACGCGATAGTACGACGATTCTGTTTTTCCGAACGATAACTCAGCTGAAAAACGTTAAAGTTCAAGGCCTTTATTCTGAGCCTTATTATTTTATCGATAAAAGAAAGTCAATCGCGCGAAAGTAAAACATTATTTCCTCGATTACTGATCATCTTATCTGTACAACAAATTATTTATATATAACCTAACGTCCATCCAAGTGAGAAATTCAAGTATTCCTTGCGAAGGATGACTTCGTCGTTGATTCTATCGCGGGGATCGCGCGTTCTTTCTCATTAACGCTTGCTTCCTTCGCAGAGTGCGTCTTCGTCTACAACCCCTGTGGATCGTCACACGGCCAAGAGCTACAACAAGAGCAACCGAGTCGTCGAGTCCGGAGCGGAGCACTCGGTGTCTGAGGAGTCGTCCGACGAAGCGAACAAGACCGTGCTGGCGAAGGAGAAGAGTCCCGACATTCGCGAGGCGAAATACATCCGCAATCCCACGTCCGATTACCTAGTTAAAGCGCCGACAGTCGCCGACTATGTCAACTCCACGTGGAAACCGGACGAATACTCTAAGGCGAATACGGCGAGGATAGTGGAGTCCGAGAAGTTCATAGAACCCTACAAAACCATCTACATGGACGCGGACGGCAAGTATCGCGAGCAGACGAGGACTAGCATGTCGAAGCCGTGTGACGTTCCGCCGGTTCCACCTCCGTATCACATCGCGGCGGCGTTCTCCAAGAAAGCCGCTCTCTTCCAGCAATTGAACAACTGTATGTCATTTATCACATATTATCACGTTAGATTTAGCAATCTTTAATTCGCGACGGTAAAGCCTTGGAATTCTCGAAAATGATAAAATGTGCAAATACTTCTTTTTTACTCACTGCATTCTTCGTTTTTGTCGTTGAAAGAGATTCATGGAAGCCTGTTCAACTTAAGGCTCCTGGGGAGTCGCATCATCCATCTCTTTTTAATGACGTCAGAAGCGAGAAAACGCATGCTAAAAATTCCTGCAAAATACGTCGAGATAAACAGATATATCCACAAAACGACATTTGCGATCGATTAAGTACACCTCTAAAAT